ATGCTGTTTTTTAACAATGGATATGGGAATAGTGTGTCACACATGAAAACTTATAAAAATTCCTGCCTCGAAGCAGTTACCTGATCATTATGTACTGTAGGTATTTGTTTTTCTGAAGTAATGTCCGAAAAACAGAACATGCAAGGACATAACGGCATTTTTTTTTTATTTGTATATTTTAGTTATTAAATTATATGGATATTAAAGAATAAAAATTTAATTATACTACATTCATCTTTATAAACAACAAACTTAACAATTCAGCAGTCCCAGGTGTCCAAGATGGGACCGACTTAATCAATTTTGGCCCGTAAATGTTGATCTCAGATCATTTTTGACATCAATATACACTATAATACCGTTTTACTGTCATTAAAAACTTTGAGATTTCATTTTTCAATGTAATCTGTTTTATATTATCTAAGCAATGAGTAGTTTATTTATGTTGGATCAAACGCCATATTTTTTTAAGTATTTTATGATTTACAATATCAAACGGCTTATTAAGTATATATAAGTGCTAGCACAGTGGCAGTAAGTTTTCTAGCTTTGAACTTTAGACTTAAAAGTCGCATTAATGAAATGCCCAAACCACATTTCTTAAAATGAAATTAAGTACATTGCTAGTGACATAATAATGAATGATAAGTGAAAGTTGTCCTCGAGTTGTTCTGAACATCTGCCGCATATAGGTAGGTACCTACTGTACAGTGGCGTAGCTAGGTAACCTAGGGCCCTGGGGCAAATAAAAAAATGGGGCCCATTGCTATCAAAACTGATAATGTTTTTTGAAGTAAAATCATTAAATATACAAATACTTTAAAATGCTAAGCAACTTTATCATCAGCTCTTTTTCATGCATGGGCAGGTATTAAAACTATTAAACACTAACAACATAAATTACAATTATTTTTATACTTCGTGTAGGTATTTGGCAATAAAACGAAATAGAAAAGATTTAAGGGTTTTTATATATTTATTATTCATAGATACGTTGCACCAGCTTACTGTTATTTAACCTATCGCCATGCAACCTATTTACAAAAATTATCAATAGAAATATTTTGTCCAGATGTACTTGCAGAAGGCTGACTAAAAAACTTGTCAATTTTGGGCAATTTTTGTTTACTTTCTTCACTTTCCCAAGAAAGCCAACGTTGCTTGCGTTTAAATGCATCACAAAATTTATTGACATACGCTTACTTACTCCTGATACATTAACTTTTTAACCATTCTCGAAAAAAATCTTGACTCGAAGTTCACAATCGCGAGTCACAAAAACGCATATCGATAAATAATAATATGCAGATATTGATATCCGACAAATTGATGAAAACATTAATAACTCTGTCAACCCACACAAATAATTTACGGGAATTCACTTTTTATTACTTTGGAATTTCTCACAACTGAGTTGCCATGATTAAACTCGAGTTGTCATATTTATTTTGAAAATGGGAGAAATTTTCAAAAGTTGATTTCGATTGAGATTTTTCTGGTAAAGATTCGAGGGCCCCCTGAGCTTGAGGGCCCCGGGGCACTGCCCCGCCTAGCCCCTTGGTAGCTGCGCCACTGCTACTGTATGTATTTTTAATATTTTATAAGTAGAAAATATTCTCTTTTATTACATTTCAAAATCAGAGGAACGAAATAAAAAAGGTAAAAATTCATTTTATCTCTTCTACTATTATATGTGTATCTGAGCCCACGGAATGCCATATCATACACGAGTGATATCCTATTATTATTAATATTATAAATGTGAAAGTTTCTTTGTTTGGATGTTTGTCGGTCAATCACGCCGGAACTACTGCACGGCTTTTGATGAAATTTGATATACATATAGAGTATTAGTTGACTTAGATAATAGGATATTTTTTATCCCACTAAACATTTCCCTAGGGTCCACGCGGGCGAAGCTGCTGGTGAAAGCTAGTAAGCTATAAATTACGCGGCTGAAGTCGCACAAAACAGCTAGGTAGTATCTATAACATAAAAGTTGACTTACGATGTATTTAAACATCTATAGATGGCGTTAGTGCCTTTACTTATTTGTAGGTTTACTTTATAATGAATAAAAATGTCCATATTCTTATTTAAAACATTTCGTTGACACTGACATATTATTTTGATCCATATATGATAATATGTTTTATTTCATTCCACAATAAAGAACATACCGGAAAACATGTGATACCTCAACTATTTCCGATATATGACAAAATATGATAGGTACACATTTGTAACATCAAACTTTGTGTATTGTACCTATACCTATACAGAAAATATTGTAGGCAGTGCACAAATTTTCAAATTTTATTCATTACGGTGAACTTATACATATCGTATTTTAACTATACAAGATCATGTTACAGTTTTTCTTTCTTTTTTTTTCTAACCTTCAAACGTCGAAGATAAACTAAGTAATAGAACGAAAAAGAATCATTACACACTGATGTCTGGGTTGAGAGAGGTTAATTGGTATACATATATTTACACTAACCAGAACTTTTCTGTTTTGAAGACCAACATAGGTATATGAGTATTACGCCATTCCAACGAAATTACACACTAAAAGTCAAATTGATAACCTTCTTTTTTAAGTCGGTTAAAAATAAAAAAGATGTAGGAAAAACACGTACTACACGGAGATGGATATTATTCGACAATTTCAGCTTGTTCACTACAAAAAAAAAATATTTAAAATCCATTTTAGTAAAATGACGACAAATTTTTATTTGTTTGTCTGTCAGGTAGATTGTTGAAGTATACATTGAGTTAATATGTCACATGACGTCACGCTTTGGTACATTATTTACAAAACTGTGACGTAGCGATCCCCCGCTCCTCAACTAGAATGCCAGTTACCTAAGCTATTTCTTGTTAAATTGAAGTAAAAAAATACGTACCTAATATATTTCTATTATCAAACTGACGGACTTAATAGAATTTCTTTATTTTTTACAAATCTTCATCCCTATTACGTAGCTTAGAGAATATTTCCCTAACTATTAGGGATTGTTTGTTCTACTCCTAACTATTATAACAAGCAAGTTCCACAAAATGCGTAGGTATCTTGTTTATTATCGATAAGTCAGTGATTGTGCTGAGCCAGTGAACGGCACACACTCGGAACTGTGCCAGTAACCGGTCGGTCGCTGTGATTGGTCGCATCTCGGTAGGCGGTCCACGCAGCTTCCAATCGTCTCGATGGGGGACTGATTATTAGGGAGAGATATGTATTTATATATGAGGCGCGGATGCTAGTTTCTTACGCTACAAAATCATTTTATAATAACTTTATTATCGTAAACATTTTATATTTTTACTAAACGATGGCTGTATGAGTTTGGTTTGTTGTCTATTTTTATGTAATCTTAAATAGTCGGTAGATTAGTTGTGCCAATTCTCTTGTAACACTCTCTAAACTGAATTTAAAAAGTATCTTGTTTTAGTATGTTTGTTTTTACCGTATTACGTAGGCGATTGAAATAGTCCTTACCTTAGTATATTTCATGTATGTAACAAATAATAAATTATAATATTGCTTACTTACTAACTTCCAAATTAAAAACGCAAAATTTAGTCTAGGGGCCAAACAGTCTTATTTAAAAATCTATAAATATATATTTGAAAGATATTCACGAACTTTACGCTAAAACTAATTGACATATAACTACGATCGCGATCGCAACGTTTTTTCTAAGATATCGATTGGATGATATCGTTAATTTCAAACGCAAATATCCGTGAATGTTATTGAGAAATTGTTATTGAGTTGAACGCTTACTGCAATCTTTCGATGGGTGTCTTGATCATTAAAACCATGTATCTATATAATTCTATAAAACAGTGTACCTTTGAAACTGATTGCGATAGTTTTGAACAGTGGCGGTCATCTACTGGTTTTTCATCTACGGGCTACATTAGACGAGGGTGGCATGCGTTATTATTTACGTGAGCCTTCGCTTGCGTAAAAACGGTGGTGCCAGTTGGCGGGAAAACATCTATTGAGTTTTCTAAAGTAACACTTGCAAGACAGAAACTATTATTGCAGACGTGCAAAATCTATAGATGTAGTCATTCGTGCTTTCGGGAAGATTGAAACAGGTTTTTTTTTGCCTTATCAGTCGGGGTATGGAAATGAAACACTCTGCTGGATTCCAGGACCTTCCTCCAAAAGAGAGAGGGTGCACGAAGGGCATTTCATACTTATGGTATGGTCATCATTAATTTCTGTGGCACCTATGGTTTTCATTTCACATACTTAATATTTTACAGTAAAAACAAAGTAATATCCATCTTTACTAACAATTTTGACAATGACCAAATAAATACGATTTATTATATAACTTGCTTACCGGCAGCGGCTTCGCCCGCGTGTTTCCGTTTTATATCTACATATAAAGATATTCTGGAGTGACATTATTACCTTGTTACAAAATATTTAGTGTTAATATAAAATAGATAATTATGTAGAGTAGTGTAGAGTTACTCTGATGTCATATAGTTGACACTAGAAGGTACCTAAGATAACTAACTTGGCATTGTAATTATAACGTCGCCGTTACGCATGCATTATTGAATTTATGTGAAATGTAAGTACCTATTTAAAAAAAATTTCTCACTTCTTTAAGACGGGTGTCCACTCTACTATTTCAAGATCGGTTCGCTTTATTCGCGCCTTGGGTATCCCCACGCAGGTCCAACTAACTGCACGGAGGTGAAATTGACGCAATATTATGACCAATATCGTTAAAAAATCCAGATTACAGCTAAATAACGTTCTAAAAAGTTTAAAGCAAGAAGTTTATTTGATTTTATATTATGTCAATTTGTTACCTTAATTAAATAACAAAATACTATATAATTTTTACTATAACCTACATTGAACTGAAGTCCTATTACATTTGATAACCCCGAACGTTATAAAATTTGTTTCTCAAGACATGCTATAGATTTCTACTCCTGAGAAGTTGCATTATCGATAGTTTCTAAAATTAGGGAAATCCACAAATCCTGACGAGAATAGAATAGAAACCATTTAATGTTCACTTTGTTTTTGGTATGAAAATGGTACTTGAGTAAATTTCATAATTTAAGCAAATTTCTTAATGAAAAAGCCTAATAATTCCTCCTGGTCTCTGGCAAATTTGTTTTCCCAATAGACAAGAATTTAAGTAAATGAAGCCAGAACTGATAATAGACAGTAATAATATTACTAGTTTTTTAACTATTAACAGTTCTTACTTCATTCATTCAAATTCTGCTACCGCCATCTATGAATTAAGTATGAATATAAGTTAACATTTCAAAGCATATAACTTGCACTTATCTACTCGACGCTAGATGTCACATAAGTCGCTAAATGTTTTATGAAATTAAAAGTAATCTATTAGGCACTAGATGTCGCTGATGAGAAGATGCAAATTTAGCTCTAGCCCATGGCTATTAAAAAGAAATAAAAACCTTTATTACATAGCCTTTTGATTTGTTCCGAATACTTAATTGGAGGAAAATGAGCCCTAAGATGAGGCTAATAAGGGCAATAATATTTAAAGTAATCTAAGTTTGTAGTATTAAAGTTTTGCGAAAGTTCATGCAAGAGTTTTGTTAATAAGTATAACTGAAAATATGAGTATTTACCATTGGAAACTTGGAGACATAGCTCTCGCAAGAATGTGTAATAAAGTTTACGCCAAAGTTCAAGTTGTGAAAGATGATAAAGGATTGTTTTTCGACGACAAAGGTTGGTCTCTTCAGCCTATGAAATTACGTATTTCACGAATATTTACCTAACTAAAAAAAATATTTTTGAATTGTTTATTAGTTCATGATGTTTGTTTATTTCACTACCATCAAATTGTCAAAAAAAAATTTTGTCCAAAGTTCTAGGGATATCTGCTAATGAAGACGGCAGTATTACAGCAACAGAAGAATTATGTTATTACGTCGAAATAAGTCGTCGCAAAGAGAGAATGTGGTTGCCTTACACAAGTCTTCATTTGGCCGAGCGTTCCAGACCTTTTTATGGCAAACAAAGTGTAGAGAAAGTGCAAGTTCTGAAGTCTGTAGAAAATAAATCACCTAAGAAGGTAATACTGAATTTTAGCTTGAGTGACAAATATTTGAGAGTACTTTGAGGGTTAAAAATTTATTATCATAAAGAACCCAACACAAACCATGCTTTATTAAGGCTGCATCTGTAATATCTGTTTGTCTAAAGTTTGTCTCATTTTTTTTTTATTTAGAGAAAGCTCAAAGAAGACTACATTGTGCCATTAAATGTGAAACTGTCAAAACTGAAGGAGCCAGACCTTAATACAACATATGATATGCGTCATATGCCCTTAAAGCAAAGCAAATATGAGAATGCTTTTAAAGAGTTTGTACGACGAGGCAAGGAAATGCTATTTGATAACTATTTCTTCTGCTTACAAACCTGTAAAGATAGGGACGAAGACTGCATTGACTACTTGCTAAACGTAGATGCTAGTACAGAGGACAAGTTTGAAATGGTTTTCAAAAATGTAGCAACAGAAAAAGAAGTGGAGAATTATCTCCGGCAATGTTGGAGATACAATTTTGTCAATAAGCAGTCGAACACTTCTGCAGACAGTTCGGTATGTTTATAATATTTGTAATAAAAACTTCTTACATATTATAATCAACTAGCTTTTGCCCGCGACTTCGTCCACGTGGTAAAGTTACTTTGAGCAGCATTTCTAACGAATATTTATTCATTATATCGTGTAAAATGCCTGAAATAAAGTTTCATTCCCTATTTTATCCCCTTAGTGGTGGAATTTATCAAAATCCTTTCTTACGGGATGCCTACGTCATAGAAGCTTTATGCATGCAGAGTCTCAGCCCGATCGGTTTAAAATTGACAGTTTCATATAAACTTTTATCCCCTTGGGAGTAGAATTGATCAAAATTCTTTCTTAGGGGATGCCTACGTCATAGTAGCTTTATGCATGCAAAGTCTCAGCCCGATCGGTTTAAAATTGACAAAGTTTCATATAAACTTTCGTTCCCTATTTTATCCCCTTGGGGGTAGAATTTATCAAAATCCTTTCTTAGCGGATGCCTGCGTCATAACATCTACCTGTATACCAAATTTCAGCCCGATCCATCCAGTGGTTTGAGCTGTGCGTTGATAGATCACTATGTCAGTCAGTCACCTTTGAGTTATATATATTTAGATATGAAAAACTCACAGATCTCAAGCTTGGTAACTAAAACCCTTGTGTTATAGGAATCCGAAACAAGAAAGGTATCCACTTTATATATTAGTACATAATAATTTAATTATGATCTTTTATACCTGATTATCCTTTTATAAATTTCAACAGTGAAAGCAATGTTCCAGTTTATTCTTACATACTCTTTGGTTCCAGTAATCACTTGCATTGTATACAATCCATATAATCCAAGTGACTTCTAAAAATACCACCACTTTAAATAACATGAGTTAACACAGAATTAAAATTAACTACCATACAGTATTTAGGTACAACTTACACAGTCAACCTTTATTTTGAAATTAAAGTAATTCACCATTTTTTTAATAATAGGGGTTAAAGTATGAAATTGCCAATTTGCACTGAAAATCGAAATTTATAATTTTTTAATTTTTAACGAATTTATTTCATTAAAATAGTTACCATTATTATCTATATATTACTGCCATCTAATAGGAAGGTCATTTATGCCTTTGCAATAGAACTTTGAGGCTCTAGCCTGCACAAACTGTGTGAAAGCATTTTGTATTGCCTCCTGGGAAGAAAACTTCTTATCACATAGATAATTGTCCAAATCACGAAATAAATGGCAGTCCGTTGGAGCAAGGTCTGACGAATACGGAGGATGACGAATGGTTTTTAACTGCAGTTCTTGAAGGGTCAAAACAGTTTCTCGTGCTATATAAGGTCTTGCGTTGTCATAGAGCAATAATGGTGAAGATCGATTCATAAGTCCGGGCTGTTTTACTTTTAGTGCTGCCAACATTGTTCAGAGTTCGTCACAATAGATATCTGCCGTTGTTACTTGACCAGATCGGAGAAGAGAAAACTATAGTGTATAACACCATGCTGAGATCACCAAACAGTTACCATTACCTATTTATTGGTAAGTTTGCTTTAGAACACTGTTGTGGCGTTTGACCTGGAGTCAGCCATTGCATTTTTTACTTTTACGGTTATCATAAAGAATCCACTTTTCATCACATGTTACAATTCGTTCCGATATTCGTTCATTTCTGTACCGATTCAACAAGGCAACACAAGTTTCAACACGCGTTTCATTCTGCAGATCAGTAAATTCATTAGGCACCCATTTTTCGTATTTTTTTATTTTATTGGTTTGACGCAAATTAGTAAATTTTGTGGGTAACGTAACGTTAAACCATGCCGCTAAGTCCTAGGTAGTTTGACTAGGATCGGCCTCCACCATTTTTTTTTTTTGACGCTGCGAAATGCGTTACTCATACCCGCTTCACTCAGCGCGGGCTCCACAGGTTATGTGGCACTCCTGCGGCCCCACCCCCGAAAGGGCTAGAAAAGAAGCAGGAGTTTACCCACTAAAACTCAGCGATGTCCCTCGCATGGAAGGCGATGTACGGGATCGGCCCGAAGGCCATACTCCGCGCGGTTCGCCTCCATTTCGGCCCGCCTTGAAAAGGGCAGGTCCCTCCGCGGGTTGGGGGTACATCTCAAAGACATTCGAGATGCACCCCCACGACGGCGGGAGCGTGCAATGCCCGACCAGTGCGCAAACCGGCCAGGCTACTCCCGGTTAGAAACCAGAGATGCGCAACTGTGCAATTTCCGGTCCCCTACCCATCGTGTTGGGAGGATCCACACAGGTGAAACCCTTATCGTGGATGCGCCACAGAAGACCGGCCTTATCACGCCCTGTATCATCATCGTTTTTTAAGTCGAAGTTTTCATCACGAAAGCGTTTAAACCAAAATCGCACGGTGCGTTCATTAGCAGACCCCTCTTCAAACGCAACATTGATATTGCGGACTGTTTCTGCCGCGTTACTTCCGCATCAGAACTCGTTTTTAAAAATCACTCGAATTTTCACAGCATCCCTCTTTCTTGTTGAATAACAAAAACAATTGAAAGTCGATATTCAAATAATTCAATTTTTTTAAAAGAGGAACATCGTAGAAAAAAGTTTCTTTCGAACACCTCAAACCATGAAGTTTCTATGTCAATTCTAGGAACCTATAACAATAAAACGGCATTTTCAAACTCATGGTATACAAATTAAATACTTATAATTAATTTAATAACATATAATGATTCTAAAAGCAAAATATATCCTTATAAATGATGAAGAGAACACAATCTATTGAAAAACAAATGAAACCATTACATCTAAAATAACTGCATACTACTTAAATATAAAAAAATATTTGTAAATAAACACATTGTTGACTTTTGAAATTATTTTTCAGACGGAGTACTTTTATTGTTGTGTTATACAGAATTTTTAATAGTCGTCGTTACCATAAAGCAAATACACGTGTTTACTATTGTAACCTTTTAACATCAGAGATAAAAAAATGCTTTCTACAAAAGTGTATCTGGAGGAAAATGACCAATTAAATAATCAATATAATGTTAATAAATAAATAAGTATTCATGTATATAACACAAATTTAAAATACAATTGGTAAAAAGGTTCTATAAAAATTATAAACCGTAAAAAAAATGTACATTGTTAATTACAATTCGATGTGGTACCAAATATTAGAATAAGGTATTGACACCTAATAAGGCCCCTGTTTTTGACTACCAGCTTGCTACAATCCCAATTGAAATACATTCTTCAAGTCTTATTTGGCGACAGTACCTTATTATATATTTATTTTAAGAATACATCTCCCGAAAAGCAACCGGTGACATTGCACGCGCCCTGGTGCCTGGTGTGCGGGAAACAGGAAAAGCTGAGGGAGTGTCCCAACTGCCCAGCATCATTCCACCTCGCCTGCAGGAGGGACTGGCTGGTCTCCATAATTCGTGAGTAGACTGTACTCTTGTAGCTCTGTTGGAGTTTGAATAAATTTAATAGCTATTTTATCGATTCGATACTTTACACCTATTTATATATTGCGCGATCATAAATATCAATAGATAAAACTTTAAAGCTATTTTCACTTTTCGTTTGAGTTTATTTTCAAACTAATATTTTTCTAAAAGAAAATCTTATTTGTTTAGATCGCAAGAAACCACCAAAGCAAGCGCCAAAACAAACGTTTGTAGAAAAAATCTTGTCCAGCACGAGGGTCATCAGTTCAGTGCGCAAGGATAAGGAAAATATGGAGTTGTGTCCGAGCTGTATGTGGGGACCGAGAGTAGGGTATGTTATTATATCACGAGTCGTAATATCATAGTTAAGTGTTTTGTTTTTCAAGATTCTTTCCAAACTTTGTTTTTACTAGAAAGTCATATTATTTAGAGCGGCATGATCCAGGTATGAAGACGTGGTGTGGCACAAGCTGGGCACGTGCTCGTGGTGGCCCGCACGAGTGTTACCGCCCGGCGCCGTGCCCTCCTGCCTGCTGGCGAGGAAACACTCGCCCCATCACTGGCCCCTGCAGTACTATGGTAACTATTGCATCGTCTGCCTGTTCCTGCCCTCGCGCGCGGTGGTGGTGTAGTGTATGTATAGTGTATGGGTGTATGGGTGTAGGGGTGCAGAGTTACGCGTGGGGCGGTGCCGGGCGCATGTGCCTGTTCCTGCCCTCGCACGCGGTGGTGGTGTAGTGTATGTATAGTGTATGGGTGTATGGGTGTAGGGGTGCAGAGTTACGCGTGGGGCGGTGCCGGGCGCATGTGCCTGTTCCTGCCCTCGCACGCGGTGGTGGTGTAGTGTATGTATAGTGTATGGGTGTATGGGTGTAGGGGTGCAGAGTTACGCGTGGGGCGGTGCCGGGCGCATGTGCCTGTTCCTGCCCTCAGACGCGGTGGTGGTGTAGTGTATGTATAGTGTATGGGTGTAGGGGTGCAGAGTTACGCGTGGGGCGGTGCCGGGCGCATGTGCCTGTTCCTGCCCTCGCACGCGGTGGTGGTGTAATGTATGTATAGTGTATGGGTGTATGGGTGTAGGGGTGCAGAGTTACGCGTGGGGCGGTGCCGGGCGCATGTGCCTGTTCCTGCCCTCGCACGCGGTGGTGGTGTAGTGTATGTATAGTGTATGGGTGTATGGGTGTAGGGGTGCAGAGTTACGCGTGGGGCGGTGCCGGGCGCATGTGCCTGTTCCTGCCCTCGCACGCGGTGGTGGTGTAGTGTATGTATAGTGTATGGGTGTATGGGTGTAGGGGTGCAGAGTTACGCGTGGGGCGGTGCCGGGCGCATGTGCCTTTTCAAATTAAAGTATTCCATTTTTATTTTACCTTTTTCACTACTTATTTCTTCGCTTGTATTTTAGTATAGTGTTCACTTATTAAATCCTACAATTGTAATAGGTCTTTTCCTAAATTAAATCCTTTTAACGTATCTTTCAGTTTATCGAATTTTTCCGTTAATATTCTAGCTTGTTCTAACTTACTTAGAAAAGAAAGAAAGAAAAGTATTTTATTTCAATAGATCCATACAAATATGTAATCCATACTTAATACATATTCTTTTATTTCTATTCTTTTTGATTTCTCAAATCTGATAAGACTTAAATTTTTCTTTATAGTCCTTAATACTGTTTCACATTCTTCC